TAGCCCAAAAGTTGGCGGTGTGTGGTGATGACTAGATGCCTTCCCTCTAGTCTTTCACTGCTAAATTAGAGATGGTTAGCGCAGATAGCTATCGTGTAACGTAATTATGTAGCTCATTTTGTAGTGACATAAGGTAGCAGTAGTTGTAAAGTGTGCAAATCCTACAACAAGAGAAAAACTTTCAGTGATTCCAAAACATAATTTGCACCACATGTAAAGAAATGCTTTACATTATTTAATAACTTTAGTAAAACTTCTTTCAGTATAATTTTATGTAAACATAACAAGTTGCTGTTTATTACTACTAATGAATAACACATAAATTGAAAAAATAGGTTTTCTTTCTTACTAGCAGAATATTAGTTTCTTCCGTTGCCTCTTTCTCGGTATATTCGTTCTCTCTCACGTCTCCCGGTCTTCTCCTCTCTTCTCTTTCGTTGTACTCCTGTCTTTTATCGTAATTTCTTAAACTTCCGCCGGACTTGTCCATTCCTTTCTGTCTTTGCACCTGTTTCCCGATATTGGATTATAACTTTTCATAACCATAAGGGGTCTTTTAGTCTCCATACTGCTGACCTTAGACTACCGTAGTCCCCTACAGAGACTGACCAAAGGCCGGCCACTTTCTCATACTCTCTCTATTTCCACCGATGTTACCTTACATCTACTTCATAACATAGCATTGTTTGATCTGCGCTCCAAAAGGTAAAATAATATCACTGGACAACTGCCAAATTTGGTCTTTAAATAGTTCTTCTATCGTGCATGGGTAATTCGTCGAATGAGAAACGACCGAAACTATAAATAGAGAACTATTAAATTTTCAAGTGTAAGCAACTATCTTTGTAGTACGCAAACTACCAAACTTTTGAGTTTTTTATTTTTAATTAATGTCTATAGTTAAAGAAAATTCATTAGTTATAAAAGTCTGCCTAATCTCAGTCAAGTCGTATTGGTTGGTTTGTTTGTTGTTAAGCGCAAAGCTACAAAATGGGCTATATGTGCTGTGCCCACCACGGGTAATGAAACCCGGTTTTTATATTTACAAGTCCGTAGACTTGCTACTGGAGGCAAGTAGTATTAGTTTTGTTTTAAATATAACTGTTAAATAAGCGTAACAGTAGACGTGGGTTGTTAGTTTTTAAACTCATAGATGGATGTTATCTAACTATTAACACCTGTGGACACAATATTTCATAATAAGGATTATTTGTGTTTTGAGATCATAAATCATGCGTAACTCTAATAACATTAAGTATATGTGCATCAGTTATAGAATATTATCGTTCTAAGAATTATATTGTTACAAAAAATGTGGAAAATTATGAAACATCTATTAAAGTGGTCTGACATTTTATGTTGTTTTTTCGATGGTTCCTTTTTAGTCCTCTTTGTTTTTTATAAACAGGATACGATTTATTTTATTGTTTGTTTCTAGTAAGCACAAAGCTACAGAATGAGCTAACTGTGCTGAAACCCGGTTTTTAATGTTATGAACCCTCAGACTTTCCCCTGATCTACCAGGGTGGGGAAATTTTATTGTTAACTAACTCTGTATATTAATTTTTTGTCGCCATATGGTTTCATTTGTCAACGAATAATAAATTAAGTTCAACTTAATGTGATACTTAATTTAGTTTTAATTTAACAAAAACGCCAGTTTTTATAAAATCGCTTATTTTTATACTTCAGTTATCAGTTTTATGTCCCAGTTTACCAACAAAAACCTTTATATTGAATAAAATCAAATTTCAAACAAACATCATTGTACAGATTATCGAGTTCAATGAGAAGCCAAAAAAAGATTAGCATTATTCGAGAAAATCGTTTTTGTTTGTATACATGTTTGAAGTTAAGCACAAAGCTATATAAAAGGTTATCTGTGCCATGCCCACAATAGGTATCGAAACCAGGTTTCTAGCGTTGTAAGTCTGCAGACATAACGCTGTACCACTGGGGGGCTCGAGAAAAATCGAACATGAAGTTTCTGACATTATAAATATGTTTAGAGGTTAATAGTTAATTTAATCTTGCAAGTTAGCAAAGTTTTTATTTAAAGTTAACTATATATATATAAGATTTAGTGAAAACTGATGACTTCGCATATAAATAGAAAAAACAAACGTTCTAATTTCATTTTAAAACAGATGCAGAATTTCTTATGATGGAAGAAAACTCTTGTTTTTCCCTCACAGCTTTGAAAACAATTCATATTTTTGTTGAGATTTTCCTATCTAATGTCTGTTTGAAAATTTATTATAAAAGCACAATCTGTCTTTCATTTCAACCCACTCCTTTGCGTTAGAACGCTTTCGAGATATATCATCGTTTTTCATAACCTGTGTTATATCACACTAAAATATGAAGCTCACGTCC